TTTTCTTGCCGCAGCCTTTTCGCCACTCGATCGTTATACCCCATCCCTTGCTCCCCATCCTCGATCCCCATGCAGCATTCGTATGGGCACTACTCCCGCCGACACGAACCTGCCCGCCGAGTACGACTCTGATGAGAATGAGAACCCTTCACCTACCACGGCATCTCCAGTACGCCCACATAACACGGCATACTGGCCAGAATATAGAGCCCACACATACCGCCCAATTGCTACGATGAGATGGCCATGTCCGACTCCAATGACGAAGAGAATCCCATTCCAGTGGGACCACGCTATCGCCCTTCACCCATCCGCACTGCGGATCTACAGATGATGGAGAAGCCTGGTATGCAAGACATCCTTACGCTAACCTGTGTCGCGAATTCAAGCCTTGGGATGAATGGTGCTCACGGTGGCTTGGAGATCAGAAACTTTGGTTTTTCCGGCAGTGGAACCACATCCGTAACCTTCCTCATTGGGGCTTGTCGACAAACATCACAATGAGCGGAACAGCTATGTCGATCTGCACCCAGATACCACTCCTGCATCCTGGCGACCACAGCTACATCATCGCTTATGATGGACCACTCACGGCTGGCAATTTGTGATGACGGCCATTGCCTCCGACCCCATTTGGGTCCTTTGTGAGGAACATCGCCAAGCCTTGGAGGATACTCATCATCAGGCACACGATGAGCCCAGAGGGACCAAACGATCGGCCACTGCTGCCATGGACGCCGATCACTTCAACCATTTGGTTGACTCAGTGGTTCAACGCCTGCTCACCATCAACATCCATGGCAACCCGCTCCTGCACAACCTTACACCACAGGCACCGCAACAGATGGTCAGCTCTGCCATCCATCACATCCAACCTTGCCAGAATTCCTCAGATGATCCAGTGATGACCATCCTCTCACCCGTACTATCAGCCCCGAGAACTACCACTTTGCAGGCTGCAGCGCTCACCTATACGGCAGGCATCGGCCCTGTACCATCGTCAGGGTCCGGATATATGTCTCAGACGGCGTCCTCTACCAGTTGTCAGGATACCATGGGCATTTGCCACCTGAGCGACCCACACGACATAGCTGATCGCCAACAGAGACTAGGGTTTGTACCGATCATTTCATCCCGTATTTCGCTCTGTCGGCTACCCTGGGGATGTGCTTCACTGACCTCTCGAGCACTCTCTTCTGTATTGGAGCATGGGCCAAACCCAGCGTGTTACATTCTCCTCACAGTGGCTCAAACCCGCTTCCCTTTACTAACCGTTACGGAGACGCCATGATGCTCACCAGCCTGCGCCTTGCACATCCAACCCGCCTGATGATCCCCACAGATCGCACAGTGATTCGCCAACCTTACGAGGTCATCTCCCATGTCCCGAACTTGGTCACAGTTCGCTTTGAATTGGACATCAGCCTTATTGGTTCACCAACCTCTGAACTATATCACGGTCACCCGCCATCTCTCACATCGAGGATGAGCCCTACACGATCGATGACCTCAAAGATGTGATCTACTCTCGTCTGGGTCAACCACGCACCTCCTTTTGGCTGGGATTAACATCCACCGGAGACTATCGGGTATGGGAACCCCCATACACGACTGCCTTGGAGGATGTGGCGCTCTACTATGTCATGCAATGTTCGTCAGGTCCGACCATTTGGCTATGACGTCGAACACCCTCGCTGTGCTGCTCCAACGCCCTACCGCAACCCACAGGCGAACGACATGACATGGACAGCTCCCCCGCGACTCCGCGACCATGCTTGTCACCAACTACGCCTCCTGCTGACAGCATATCCCTGTGTGCAAGAAACCCACACATTTTTCACTGCGTACAGCTATATACCAGTGCCCGACCGCAAAAATAATGTCGTCTCAAGCCACCGGTTTTACCTTCCGATAGCTCCCGAGGAGCTCTCAACCTCCTCTGATCACTTCCTTGCAGTATTTGCAGTGTGTTTCTCTTCCCCACTTTCCCGTGTCCCACTTCCTCTCCTTCCTATCCACAGCTGGTTCAAGCCCACGAAGACTACGACTGCCGTCACCATATTTGGCTGCTCGTGTCTCCGCTGTGCGAGCCCCAGCTATGGCTGAGAACAGGTTCTGGACGTCCTTGAAGAACGAGAAGGGCATCTCCTAGCAGTCTTAGCCTCTACCTGCAGTGTTCGCTCTCAGTTATACACAGCAATGGAGATTCTTGCTCAACAGCGTGAAACTGCTCTATGGCTCTATGGCATGATCACACCGCCCAAGAACTTCCAAGCTCTCTCCAATACCACATTAACAACCTCCGGCATCACGTGGAGTGAGCATATGAACACCTCTAACAAGCATACACCCACACCAACAACCTTGGGGCTCACCCGGAGCACTACACAGTGGCCCGCGCTGATGGCCTTCGCACCATGGAGCCATTCTACCCCAAAGGAAAAGCCAAGGGCAAAGGCCGCGCTGCTCCCTGCACACGCACTACAACCTTCACATGCACCAGCATCCAGACCGACGCCATCCTCATCATGGAAGATTCCGCGACACAGCCTGATGCTACCAACGCCTTGAACCAACAGCTATATATACTCGTCCGAGCCACCTGCCCTCAGGCAGTGCTGCAGACGCTCCATCGACACCAATACCCACGACGACACTGGAGCAGCCAATGGACCCTGCACTCCCAACAAGCAACCGCCGCCCACCGAGCTCCAATCCTGTCGACCATACCAGGTCTCCAGCGTTCCAGGCATGGTACCGAAAACCAGGACCGTTCACATGCCCATGCGCACATTGAAACGATTGAAATTGGTGCAACCCTGTGACGACCCACACTGGACAGCTTACTCCTCCCCTTTCACACGCACTGCAGCTCAGAAGCAGACAGACGAGCGTTGGGACGCCAACCTGTTGAAAAACCAACAGTTTTTCAAACGCATACAACCTACGGCGTGGAGCAGAAACCGCAACCTTGCTGGACTCCCCACCTTCCAGGTCTTTCTTCCTTGGCTGCTCGCATTCCATGACACCTCGGACTGCACCGCCCGCGCCCTATCAAACGGCAAATACACCAGTCTGGTTCCCACCAACCAGACCCATGACACAAGTCCGGGAACAGCACCTCGACCTGGACGCCACAGCCGACGCTCTTCATCGAGCCGCAGGAAAGTCCACACCAAGACAGCCGAATTCTGGAGCTTTCCCCCCAGAAGACGACACCCCGCCGCCCAACTATGATGCTACCTACCAGACCCTCTCCTTCCGCGGCACCATCACAACCAGCAGCCGCCGCAGTGGGTGATGCAGAACCACTCACCTTGCCACAAGGTCCTTCAACCGGACCACCCTTCCTTGAAAGACGACGTTCCCAACAAGTGGTCCGCGGCCTACATTACCACCTGGGCCCAACAATTAGATGAGGCCATCCAGGACTCGGCCTGTGAGATTTTGAAACATGGCTTGCTGACTAGCAGCCACAGCTTGCCGAGGTCCCAACACCACCACACTCGAGCGCATCCGCACACTTCACACGGCACTGTCACACATCACTCACCATGCAGCCTACATCGACCGGGCCGAAGCCATCTATGCCCTTGGACTCCCCCACCTCACCGCCTTATTTGTTTCCCCTTCCAATGCTCATCGGTCTCAACAATGGCCACGCAACGAACCCTAGATACCAACAACATTACCACCATTGTAGCACTAGCACTTGACACTTGCATTTGCGAGCGTGCACTACCTATTTTCAACAGGTATGGGGGGCTGGGATTGGATCCCAACTCTCTCCGGCGCTCTGCAATGCCGCCATCACCCTCATCGAGCACTCCTGGCAGCAGCTCCATCACTCCATCGTGGACCACTCCCAGATCTACTTCACCTACTACAGGTACGTGGACAACCGCTTCATCACCTTCAACCAGGACTTTCTCACCCACATCGCCTTCCAAACTCTCATCCGCCCGGACTTCTTTGGCAACCCCGTGGAACTGGAACCAGTGGATGACATGCACCTACTCGGCTTCGATGTCGACCTCAACCAGCGCACCATCACCTACATCCCACCCAACGCATCTTGGAAAATACAAGACTATGCTTCCGAGATTCCGCAGGTTCCCAACGACTTCGATTGTCAGGACTCTAATCACGAGCCCACCTGATTCGCAAATACACCTACCCGACCTCGGCAATTGAGCGAGCGCTTGCTCAACTGTTGACCTGCATGTCCAAAAAGGACATGACCTTCACCTATGCTTTGCGCCTTTTAGGCACAACATCCCCGACCTTTTCCCTTCCTTCCTTTTTCCTCTCCTCCCGGTTTCCCACCTTCTCCTTCCTTCATTCATGTGAGCGCCGAATACGGCTATCTGTGTGTGTGTGTCCACACCTGTGTCTAAGGAGTTTGCACGACATAATTCACCTCGAGTGTAATGCAGAGATGTTGCAGGGGGGCAACGGCCAGTCTTCTTACGTTGCCCAACGAAGCTATAGAAGACTGGTGGAAGCACTCGGGGACGCCTGAGTGTGTACCTGCCACTTTTTAAAACTTCGTAAAGGTCTAATGCGATGAAACCAATTGTTCAAACACCTTCAAACTCGCGGACTCCATCGCCTTTCGGTTCTGGCATCTTTCCGCTCCATCGAGTCAAGAGCTAATGAGTGTAAAGGGGAACTTCATCAACTGATTCAGCTCTTGCGAGCAACGTTCTAAGTGTGATAAGTAACTCGGCGCAGGCCCGCGGGCCATTCTTCGAGCCCGCGCCGAGCCCGCGCGCCCGCGGGACCCTCGCACGGGGACCACTCCCAACTTGCATTGGGACCAGTCTGCGAAATCTAGTGCAGCAACTCAGTTGCAACTGAACTGGTGGTTTCGACCTAATATGATCTAATACACAATGTTGAAGCACCATCTGCCAACATAGCAAACTTGTTGCACATTGACATGCGTTTTGCTTGACATTGGAATTTTTTAATTGCGCAATCTCTTGCCGCCAAGGGGCTCCAGGTGCGGTGAGATGTAAACCAAAGCGCTTTCGTTGTCACCACCATGGTTCTCAAACCGCACCTGAGCAGGAAAGAAGCAAACCTGTTGCCTTCCTGGACGGCCCTTCCTTGTGCAATTTCCTTGTGACTGTTCGAGCCTTGTGATTGGCAGCTTGAAGAAGCCCTTTTGGCAAAACAAGCTTGGAGACAGTAGGGAACAACTCCCTCTAAAGAACGTGTTGGAAGTTGTACTCCCTTTGATCACGTCATTTGCCGGAAGTAGGGAGGCACTTGGTGCATTTGATGAGCTGTATATAAACCTTTGAACGTTGGATCTCATGAGAGAAATGCCCTCCCACCAAAGCCAACACCCCCTCCGTGCTGATAGAGGGCCGAGACGCTGCCTTAGCTTGACTGGAGGAAAGGTGAATAGTGGGAGCTACATACGCAAAGCACTCTTCCAGGAACAACATGTCACTTGGAACCACGCGCACAACCCTAGAGGTCTGACATCGGGATAGGTCAAAACCTGGAGCCCCCCAACCAATGATCCTTCTTTGTATAGTTTGTTTTGGTACATGCCCAACTCCCAGATACCCGATAATACCGAAGGGTCGTGGGAGGCGCCTCAGACAGAGTCCGCAAGTATCGTTGGTAGGTCAACCAAGGTATCCTGGTTTTGACCTACAGCCACATTGAAACCTCCAGTGCTCAATCGGGAATGCCAAGGAATGATCTGATCTGTTTACACTGCAATCGATTGTGTATTTTAGGTTGTATTTGGCATATTTGGCAAACAACAGCGCCATTTCATCAAAGTTGGGCAACAAATCACAACAAGTGCCTCCGATACTAAAAGACCCTGGGTTTGTTGCGCTCTGTTTGTTTTCCCTTCGGCTGGGGGTGCCTATACATATCTTTAGATGTGGTGATGACCCTGGCAGGGTGAATGTGCAGCCAAGAGTTGGCTCAAAGGAAAACTGATACGGATGTTCTTGCATGTCCTTAGCTTCCTACAGCTTGCTTTGGCTCCACCTGGTACAAGTATTGTAAATGTATGAGTGCATAACGCAAAGGACGCAACGAGTTTGTTCCATGGCTGATGCTATTCAATGTTAATACGAGTTTCCAACTCTAATTGCAAACAATGCACGCTTTATATATATATATATATAGGTAAGAACAAATGCATTCACCACGACAATTGCGTGTTTTTCTTCAGAAATAAGATGAATTGATCAGAATGGTCTCGCAGGAACACATTTTTGATGCTCACAAAAATTGATTTGAAAAGGTTCGCTTCCACCTTTTCCGGCGCAAGTGGCCAACGTCCACTGTCCACAAAAACCTTTCCAATAATGAATGGACAAACAAATTTGGAGATAATTCTGGTTTGACGTCTGCTTCTGCCTTAGCACCAAGCAAAATCAGGGCGCAGGGCTAGAAATTATGCGAGTGTGTGTGTGATCATCCTTTAGAAACCAGCGCTATGGTGTGGTATGAAATCAAACTTATGAGTGGTGAGGTTGAAAACTTCTGTGCATTCGGCCGGTTTTGTAGAAGGTCCCGCGCAGTCTTTTCCTCAGGACCCGGGCTAGCATGCTTATCCGACATGCCAATGGGCCCACGAACGCGGACATGCAAACCGCAAAACGTACGCAATGCTAGATTCAGCGTCGCAATTGCCAAAAACTACCGACAACTTCAATTTGATTCATTCTGGCACCAGCTTTGCGCACCGCCCCTCCCTTTTAGTTGGCCGCAACAATTGAAACCTTGCAGCTAAAGTCACGTACAAACACTGGCTTAAAAACGCGCAACCAGTGAGAGACCAAATGTGAACAGCAGTTTCCCTTTTGGAACATTTCAGAAAGATTGTCGCATCTTTTCGGGCGAATACATTGAAAATAATGGATTTTGGGTTCACTGCATGTGCACATATTCTGAAATGCTTTGTTGTACGTTCTCTGCGGGGTTCTGTCTAAAAACGCGCCCCAAAGAACTCACAGAAACAGCAAATGCCAAGGACACACCGACAATTAAAACGCGGAAACCCTGGCAGAAATCCTCAACCACCAACCCGCGCACGCAATGTTGTAGAACCCCGTTGCACTGTTGCACTGAAGCTTCAACTGACGATCAAACAGTAGCGATTCGGACATCGAAAGCAATAGGAAGTGGTATGCTTCTCGATTTAGTGCGTGTCAGTCCATGTGCACCATTTATTTGCGTGTGACTTGAGCCACATTGTGGCGGTTTCGTGCAACATTCGGAACGTGCCTCATGCCCGCACTCATTCTCCCAATTGATCTGTCGGTCTGGTGACAACAGGGCAGTATGGACATCAACTGAACACAAAGTAGGCGCAGTACCAAAATGGTGGCGAAGCCTCAAGGATCCTGCAATGTTCCACTTTCCGGTGGTCGAAAACTCAAGAAGACACTTAGATACATATTAAACATGCTTTGTAAGATGGCCTGCAAGCATCCAATGAGTCTGAACATGGAACAATCTGCGCAAGTGATGTGTACGCAGCTCTTCACGGATCGCAAGAATCCAAAGCGTTGTCCTTTGTCCAATGGTGCACCCTTCTGACCGGTGGCCAATTCAACTAGGTCCACGCAGTCAACGTACGCATCTGTATCGCATAGCGGTTCTGAATCCTCAGCGCAAGCATAGCCGTTAAGGACGCTGGCCAAAGTCTTCCCTTGCATTCCGTGGAGGAGCAGTGGAGAAGATGCATAGAACCACCCGTCCAAGCAACTTGCGCTTCTTTCAAGAAGTCTCGAGCATCTGTCTCTGGTGACACCAACGCATCTTCAGCAAGGAGGATGCATATGCCTTCTGTTGCATAGCTGCTCTGCTTATTGGCCAAGGATGCATCCGACACACATACAACCCTTACGGGCAGTTTCAAAGATCTAAAGGGTGGTCTCATCTGGCCACCAATCTTCTACACCATCTTCATACCACCAAGCGGACTCATCGTCCTCGTTGCAGTAGTCAGGCCATTCATCATACCAGCAGTCCATGTCATAGTTATCATCGTCTGCGGCCGTGTGGTATTCGTCAGTGCGAGTCATGAAGCGACGGTATAGCCTCAAGACTGGTCAGTGATGGCTGCTTCACTCTTGCTGAGGCGTTGCCGGCATGCAACCATTTGTTTCCATTTGTTGAGGCCGTCGAACCCAAAGGATGCACTCGGAGGCCACAATTGCAGAGGAGGCTCTGCAGTGACTTATCCAAAGGGAACCTCAAGCAAGTTCACACAGGCGGTCACAGTAAGGGCCGAGCTGGAGCAGGAGGATGAGATTCTTTTCTTCAGTGGTAGATGTCCGGCGTGAAGACCATCCAGGAGTCACCCGTCTGCTTGAGACCTGGGGCGGAAGGAGCGTTCGGCTCCGCCACCAAAGTAGCGATTCGGATGTCGAAAGCAAGAGGCGGCTTCTCGATTTAGTGCGTGTCAGTCCATGCGCAACATTGATTCGCACGCGACTTCAGCCACATATTGTGGCGGTTTCGTGAAACATTCGGAATGTGCCCCGCGCTCATATACCCAAACTTCTCCCAATCGATCTGTTGGTCTGGTGACAACGGGGCAGCACGGACATCAACTGAACGCAAATTCGAATTCAAACATCGTCCAAAAAAGAGGTTACACCACACTACAAGAAGCTGCAAGATGTGAAACAACCAAACCCAAGAAAACAATCACTCTATACGTTAACTACAAAAACATCAGGTAGGGGTTCCTGAATTGTTCACCATTTTGGGGCGCCCGAATTGCGAAACAATCGCGATGTTTTGCGAGCATGAAGAAACTGGAGCAATGCTGCTCGCACATTGCAAGTTGCACAATCAATAGCAGTGGCCCGTTAAACATCTAGGCTCTAGACTTTTCGGAGCGCCAGGCTGCTGAGAACGTCATAGTAATCCAGATTCTCTCGCCTGAGCCGGAAAAATTGGACTGTGCCACACTGCTCGCGCATCAATGTCCACATGTATCCTTCCGGAAAAGACGTGGTCCGATTCTCCCTCCCTCCCTCCCTCCCTCCCTCTGTGATTTACAGGGTTAGGTTCCCTGTAGACGTGTCTACACTATACGTGTGTAGCACGTTTCACTTGTACAAATGGTTGTCTGTATCTTCGTAGCTTTGGCTTTACAGCCTAATTCACACTTGTATTTTGGCTCAAGTGTGCCCGCAACGCACTGTACTGCGCAGCCAGGGAAGAGGCCGAGCTTTGCTCGGCGCCGCTTCCTTGGTGTTTTCGTCAGGTCCAGTAGCGCGCTATGCCACTTTGGGGAATTCACCCCTCAAAGTGGTAGCGGGGCTTGTGTCTCCTGCTTCGCATCGTGCAAATTTCTCGATATTCCGGACAGGAGACAACCAAGGTTTGCCCGCTGTCTGAAGAGTAGAGACCACGGCCCAGATCTTTAACATAGATACGGGCAACGAATCAGAGGCGAGTCAGGACGAGTCGGAACCTGATCAGGCATTTGCAGCGTCAAGCTCAGCTCGATATTCCGAGCGCAGCAATCAAGGTCCTGAGGACATTCCGGGCATACGAATCGCAACCGATGCCAGGAGTCAAGATGACTCCAAAAATTCCCCCATCCTTTGATGGACAGTCATCGTGGTTTGAGTTCGAAGCTTTGATAGATGACTGGGTAAACCTTACCACACTTTCTGCAAGGAGTATTATAAGAAAATGCTCGGCAATCAGCACCTTCGTGACGAGAGGAACGGTATTACGTACTTCAGGGACACGTTGCGTCCGTACTTTGTCAAGGGAGCAAACCTCTGGCGTTTCATGCGGCCCTTTAGGACCTGGTGCGGAAACGGTTAATTTGATAGTTGGATCGCTCGTTTTGAGGTAGCAAGTAAGAGGTCATGGAGGCTTGGGTGGGACGTTAGATCTTTCCCAAGTTCCTCAAGCAGACGACTTCAACTTCACCAACAATGCTTCTTCAAGGCACCCAAGATCCGCCAGAACGTAGAGAGATTGCCAATAGGATCAGACATGAACACATCGATACCATGAAAGCAGCGCATCGTGATACGTTCCCATTGTCTGACAACTTGATGTCGCTTATCTTTCTAGTGCAATCTGAACTCAACGAACAGCAGAGAGAGATTTGTAGAGAGCGTGTCCTTGCGTCAGGTGGGCGTGAACAACTGCGCGTACTTATCGGCTTATTTCTTGATCTCTTTTGCGGAACAGCCACAGGAACTGCCGATCCTTCGATTCACAGGCAGAAAAGATCCACGTTCCTTGTCCTCGATGAGGGAGACTTAGAGGAAGAGTCCGGTTACTGGGTGATGGATCAGGATACAGGCGGGGAAGGATTTGTGAGTTTATTGTCAGAATCCGATTTTTGGCTGTTGCAAGCCAAAGGAGGAGTAGGAGAATCCATGGAAGAAGGTTCAGAAAACCCATCCAAAGGCGGCAAAGGAAAAGGCCGCGGAACGACCCGACTTCACAAGCCGTAGAGGCAAAGGTGCAGGGGCGCATTGCGCAGAGTACCCTGACAACTCCGGTTTCTATGGCAAAGATGCATTCAAAGGTAAAGGAAAAAGCAAACAACAGAACCAGAATCAACAATCGAATGTTGCAACCGCCGAAGAGCCTTGATCAGCTCAGTCAAATCCCAACGCCGAAGAAACCTGGAGTGCCCATGAAGCAAGTTGGTCATGGGACTTGTGCTGTTATCACACGGACCAGTACTATCCTGAAGACACCCGGCAAGAAAAGGAAGCCTCTTGGCAGGAATGGACATATTACGCGGAAGGACTGCAGATGGACAATCCGCGACGTGATGAGCAGAATAGCTCAGAGCCATGGCCTGATCAGAGTAACCAGCCGACTGATTTCCGATACGACTGCAATCTTGCAGCCAGTTCGGTTGGTGTTGACCATGTTTCACAACAGTATCATCTAATGTCGGCAGTAGTGAGGACTGCCGGCATTCCGGTGATTCTTCTTTCTGTCAATTTTGACGATGGATTCCATCATGCATTGCTCAGCGAATACATCGATCTGAGGTACTCTCCGACCTACGCCACCATCGACTCCGGATGTGCTCGAGCTATATGGGATTCAGGACTGCTATCAACTGTTTGGTTCGTCTTGCGTGCAAGAATCACAGAAAAGCATCCAAGATCAGTCTTTCTTTTGAAGCATCATCGAGCCGATTCTCTTTTGCAAACGGTGAACAGTCCAACGAACGTGAGAAGCTTGTGGTTTACCTTCAGAATGACCAGGCGCCCACTGGCGGATTTCGACTGGAATTGACATTTTCGACCAAGGCGATGTACCGATCCTTTTCAGCGTTGAACAGCTTCGTAGTCTCGGAATGTCTATTGAACACATGCCTGTCGGTTATTTTTTGACCTGTCCATTGTTCGGCTTGAATGAAACGCTTTTCGTTGCCAGTGAGCAGTTCGAATCATAATGTCCTGGACATCGTGATTTCCACCAGGTCTGTCCGCAAGCCGAATCACAGCTTCGCAGCTTTGAACCCTTCGTATGCAGCGTGCCCTGCCTGCAATGGCAAACACCGAGCACATACGTTCGTACAAGGATGGCTGTTAGAAGGCAAGTCCATCCGATATTCCGGACGACAAGAAGGTCAAGCCGACAGCCGATACTCCGGTTGACAAGAAACCGGAAAAGAAGATAGCCAGCGGAGACGCCAAGATCGATCCGCCAAAGCTGATTTCGATGCCTCCACCGGCCAAAACGGTGACACCTCCGACATTCCGGAGAAAAGAAAAGTCACCCGATTTTGGACACCTTTTGAACATTCGACGGTTCTAAGTTCCAGTTCAGGAGCCAAGAAACCAGATGCTCCTGTTGCAGATGAGCCGGTGAAGTCAGCGCCTCACAAAAAAAAGAAGAAGTCAAATCAGAACCTACCGTTGAAAGAAGGATCCAAAGGTTTCAATGACCCTGCCGTTAGCTTTGCAGAGTGTATTTTACAGGATCAGCTCGGATTTCACTAGTTACCTAGCTAATCCTATAAGACCGGTAAGCGGGCTATTTTACTCTACCTTGAGAGTCCACGCTACGGGGTCCATGGAGATGAGGTGAATTTCAACACCCCCTTTACAAGGAGCTACCCGTAGGGAAAATCTCGGGAGGATCAAATTCTTGCGACGAAGGAATTCATATTAGAAATCCCTCATCAAGCTCGTGCATGCGCTATACAAGGAGAACGTAGCTACCCTAACGTACAACCTACCGGCTCACACGACATGTAATTACACACGCTTGACCCAGTCTTAGTTATAGCATTGATTAATAGTTCACTCTCCGACTAGGGCAATCCGGTAAAGGATGCATTCATGCGTGAGACAACGTGGTGAAAGATCATCTCACAGCGGGTCAGAAGATGTACTTTATCTCAACACTCGTAAGCTGTAAGGCGTACCAGTTATGGTAGCTGTACAAAATGCTTGTCATCAGTAATGCCTATACCCAAAACGTTCCGTATCATCATGCCAACCATGTTCCATCCAATTGCGAAGCTCCATGTGATTGGGCCAATAGTTTTCAGCCCAAGGATCTGTACGTTGCCATTGTACCACTGGAAAATCAAAAAGTTCCAATGGACGATCGTCTGTACCACGTGCTGTAGGCTGCCCGATTATGGGAGCATGGGAAGACGATGAAGATGGAGCCCCTGATGGCAAAGGTGGCGGCGGTACATTGGATAAATGCCATGGCCTCGTCTCATAAGGACCTTCACGATTGATGTCCCTTCCCCTTTCCTTTTCCGGAAGGTTGTAGCCGAGTATAGAGCTCGCTGAGAGGAGGCGGCTTTGGTGTAAGATCAAAATCACTTGTTTTGGTGTGAACTGGAATTCCACTGGACGTGTTCGGTGGAACTTTCGGTGGAGGTGGTTTAGGTGGTTGACGTTTAGCTACAGGTGAAGGCCTGGCATTGGTGGATGTGATGGTGCTGGAAGAGGTGGAGGCGACGCTGGAGCCTGCCCAATAAGCAAATTGGGTTTTGGCGGTGGGTAAGGTGGTGGCTTTGGAATTTGTGGCTTGACCTTTGGAGCTTGTGGTGTGAGTGGAGGACCAAGGAGGTCCTTCGAGATGTTGCCCTGACTGGGTGCCTTATCTTCAGAGAAGAAGGGCATCATTCTGCCGACAGAACCGCGTGGCGTCCCTTTTACAGGAGCTTTGGAGCCTTTCTGAGAAGAACTGCCGCGGCCTGCAACATCGGGCAGCGGTGCCTGTTTTGCACCTGGTGGCTGCCAAATGGATTCGGCATCCTGCTGTGCTGTACCTGGAACAAAGTCCGGCGGCATGCTCTTGGGAGCAATAGGCGGGTCAGATACGACATTCCGTTTAGGGAAGTCTTCTTTTGGAGGAACTGGAGCTCGAGGAATAGGAGGTGGCCTGTAAACTGAAGTCGTATGCGTCCCTGTTACGGGAGCTGGTGGCTTTGGTACACCAGGTGGAGGGACTCTGTCATCCGACCAGGCTGCAAAACGACCAGAATCACCACGCTCCTCTTTCTTCCTCCATTGTAACCGTGGCTTCGGTATCATAAGCCTGTGAACGCTTTCGTTGTAGCGGCGGCCTTGTTACAGGCGCTTCAGGTGAGATCGTGAATCTCTCTGGCCGAATTCCAACAAAAGTTGCTCAAGACGTCGAATTTCATAAGAAGTCATATCCTGGCCACAGTCGGCAAATTTTGGCAATGGAGTGGACATCCTCTGCTCAATGTTCATAAATCCAAACTTTGTAAGCCCTTTGCCACGATCTCGTTCCTGCATATTGACCGACTGCTGTGCATTGAGCTGGTATTGAGCGATGGCATATTGCTCATTGTACAATGCAAATTCTCGGACAATACTGTAAATCGCCATCGTGTCTCCACGAGGAATCTTGATGTTGTGAATATCACCATAAGCATCATCCGTAGGAACAAAGCC